AGAGAGGAAATGACCCGGGGTCAGAGGTCGCGCTCGGGGGACTGACTCCTTTCCTTAGATTTCGTGTGTCACGTTCAGCGGTTTGTGTGCGGGGGTGTCCAGCCCGGGGCCTGCCCGCACGGGGTGTGTGTGTGTGTGTGTGTGTGTGTCTGACGTTTCCTCTCCCCCCGGGATGGGGTCTGGGCGGGGGGGTTCGAATAGATTTGTTAGTCTCTAAGGTGCCACAAGTACTCCTGTTCTTTTTTCTGATCAAGCTGTTGCCTAAAAACACCCACCCGTGGCGGCTGATTGCCCCCCTTCGCGCTGGTGCACCTTCGGTGGGTGCGAACTTGGCAGGCCTCGCCCTGTTGTCTCTGTGGGCGGCTCCTAGCCGTGGACAAAGCCGCCTTGAAGGGCACGTCCACACTGCAATCAGACGCCCGCGGCTGGCCCCTGCTGGGCTGACTCGCGAAGGGGCTTGTTTAGTTATGGGGCAGACGTTTGAGCTCAGGCTCTAGGACCCTGTTTTACACCGCAGTTAAATAGCCTCTTAGCCCAAGGCAGCTGGCACGGGCCAACTCCGGGTGTCTGATTGCAGTGTGGACGCACACTGAGAGGCTTGCGGCATTCACAGCAACGAGGTTTCAAATCTCTCCCCTCCAGGTAAAACTTCCCTGGCTCATCAGTTTGTGGACGGGGAATTCCTGGAGTGCTACGACCCTACAGTGGAAAGCAGTGAGTGCAGGGCCCTTTCAGGCCTGATTACATCTGTAGCGGGCGTCTCTACCCTGGGGATTGTAGTTGTCTTTGCACATTATATTTATCCCCATATGTCTAGAGGCCTCACCAAAACCTGTCTCCCTGGGAGGTGCTGTGGAGATCCCCCCCCCATTGTTTAAAGATGGGGTGGGGGGGCACCGAAGAAGGAGGGGATGGGACTTGGCAAAGTGATGTGGCAGAGTCCTGGACAGAACCCACCCGCTCGACCAGGATGCGGGATCCGCATGTTGCTATTCTTGGAGAGGACTAGGAGTGTGCGGTGTCCACGCTACAACTCGCACTCACTTTCACGCCCACGTGTTAAAACGCCAGCCAGGACGCCTGCTGTTGGGGATGGGATGGGGGCGAAGGTGGCTTCCCTGCCTAGCATCCAGCGCCTTCTGCAGGGGGCAGGGAGGGGCCCGGGGCGAGGTATCCAGCAGGGCTCTGTTGCCAGCTCCGGTTAGTTGCTTTTGCTTAGGATGAATGGAAACCACTTGAGCTTTGCTTGGGGTTTCACTCAAATAGATCTCCACCGAGGGCGAGAATCTGGCTCAGAATAACCAGACAAGGGGCCTTTAAGCTGAAAGGCCACGTGCTGTGGGTGGGTGGGTGGGTGGGGGAGGGGGATGTTTCCTTTTGCTTTTGTTGTGACCCCTCCCTCCTTCCTGCCCTGGGATGTTTCGAGCCCCTTCCTGCCTTTCAGGAGACCTCAGCCCCGCCAATAGCGAGGAGGTTGGGTGGACCTTTATTCAGGTCTGCTTGTTGTCAGGAAACGCAGTGTTGAGTGTGTCTGGAGCAGCTCGTCCTGTGTGTGTAATCGCAGGAGACCTGCTGGTCTCCATCCCAGCCCTGCTCCGGGGCTTCTCCTTCCTTAGCTCACCGCGGAGCCTCTCTGGCCTGCCACAGGGCTGGGGTTGCGTCAGGCTTTGGGCTCAAATCCATCCTCGCCTGAACATCCATGGAGAGAGCTGAGGCCGCTGGGACTCCGCCAGCTCCTGTCTCCGGGCTCGGCTCTGGTTCTGCCGCGTGGAGCTGGCTGGGCAGGGCAGGAGGCTGTGCCCATGGGAGCGGATCTCAGCCTGGGGGGCTGGTGTAGCTGAACCCCCGGGTTGCGTACAGAAGCTTCCAACTTCCCAGGGGCCTCATTGCCTGCAGCAGCCGGAACCCTGAGGTAGGAGGGGACGTCCCGCAGGGACTGACCCTGGGCCCGCCGAGTCCAAAGGACCAGGCCCATTCGCTATGGGGCAGTAGCGGACTCGTAAACCAGCCACCAGAGGGCAGCAGGGAGCCGTGGGGCTGTGAGCGGGGGGGGGCCCACACCCTGTAACTGACTCTTGCTCCGTTGTTCCCTCCAGCCTACAACAAAATGCTGATGGTGGGAAAGGATGAATTTCACCTCCAGCTAGTGGATACAGCAGGGCAGGTAAGGCCTTGGGGCAGCGAGGAGGGACTAGTGTAGCTTTTCTCCACGGTGCCTTATCCTGATGGGTCTTCCCTGTCCACCCCCAAAACCGACACGTGCTGCAGCCATCTCTGGGGCGGAACCCATCACCTATCAAGGCAGCAGTTTAGGTCAGGAAGGGGGAACTCATGTCTGATGACCAGAGGGAATTTAGGGAGGGGGGATTTGGTCAGGCCCTTCCCCCTCCCAAAATAACACCTGTTGTGAGAGGTTCGGTGTTTCCAAAGGAATTCATCTCCAGCACCAACGCTGTCCTTTAGCATGGTGCTGGGGCATAGGGGGCACTAGTGAAACCTTGAAATGCCGCTCTGGCTTTCTGCAGCCTGCTGGGGGTCTTCCATCCGCGTGCTGCCTGGACTGGGCTCCTGTGTCTCAGTGGGGTGGGGTCCCGTGATGAAGGGGGGGGGAGTGATCATGTCTGTGTTTGTTTCTCACCCGACGCTGTGCCCGCGGCTCACCAGGACGAGTACACCATCCTGCCCCCCTCCTTCAGCATCGGGATCCATGGATACCTGCTGGTCTATTCGGTCACCTCGCTCAGAAGGTGAGGGCTCCCCCCCCCGGGGGGGGGCAGGGCTTGGCTCCAGCGCGGGGGAGGGGACGTGCCGTGCCGTGCGGCAGGGCTGGGAGCTCAGTGAGCCCCCACGCTGCAGCCAGCCC